TTCCTATATCTACTACTTTCGATATCCACTCTCTCAAACCAGAATTTCTTCTCAACATAATTAGAGATGACCGAACAGAATATTCTGAAGTTTATGTTCATCATCTTAAAGTTAATTTCGTTTTTATCAATTTGTCTATGAACAACAAATAAAGTAACTAATAAAAAGAAAGTCAAGCATGTAACTATAAATCTCCAGTTTTTTTTTATTTTTATTTTATTATTTTTTTTTACAATTTATCGCCATATCACTAGTCAAATAGTTCTATGTGCAAAGTTTTAAACTTTGCTTAAAATTATGATTTGTAAGAAAGTTTGAAACTCCATATATATGAGTGACATATCACTACGTGATAAATTATTAAACCCTTTTTTGTTTTTTTATTTTATTTTGTTTTACCATTTTTAGGAAATTAAAAAGTCAGTATCTAATTTTTGGTTTACAAAATCTCTCAGTTTTTACATTTTTATTTTATTTATTTTTTATTTTTTTATTTTTATTTTTTTTGACCATTTTTAGAAAAAGGAAGTCAATCTTACAAACAGTGTATTAGACTATCCTGTATCTAATTGGGTTTTAAAAAAAGTCTCAAACACATCAGGTAAAGAGTTTACGCATATAAAATACACAGCTATCAAATGCGATCCAGATGAATTTATAAAGAAGAAATATTTAATTCGACAAAAAATTAATGAGCGATATACTGAAATAATGATTGTTATTACAATGTATAATGAAAACGATACTCACTTTATTAAAACAATGTCTCATCAAAAATGTGGCCTATATTTGTTTAAAAAAAAGTTGAAAACATGGGGAAATGAGGTTTGGAAAAAAATTGTTGTGTTAATAGTTGCAGATGGTCTTAATAAAATCAATAAATGTACTCTTAATGTCCTGAGTCTTATGGATTGTTATCAAGATAGAATTATACAAAAACGTGTCAGAGGTAAACCTGTTACTACATATCTTTTCGAATATACTACACAATTAATGGTCGATGATGATTTTAATGTCTGAGAGAATGACTCACTAGTGCAAGTTATCTTTTGTTTAAAACAAAAAAATACAAAAAAATTAAATTCTCATCGTTGGTCTTTTAAGGCCTTTGTGGCTCTTTTGAACCCAAAAATTTGTATTTTACTTGATGTGGGCACAAACCCTCACAAACCTCAGTTTACCACTTGTGAAAAGGTATGCATATTTAATTTTGTTTGAAGTTGGCTGATGCTGAAAATTGAACTTCAATACTGTAAAATTTAGGTTAGATTACTAATAAAAGAGTATAGGTATATACTCTCAATCTTAGTATCAGCTAATTTCAGCATTAAATTGCTTTCGCATTGATATTTTTATCTATATATATATGTAGATTTTAGCATTTGATCGTGATCAACATGTTGGTGGTGCTTGTAGAGAAATTAAAGTAGATCTTGGTTATAAATGTAGAAACCTTCTTAATCCTTTAATCGCATCTCAAAATTTTGAATATAAAATATCTAATATCTTAGACAAGCCATCAGAATCTGTTTTCGGTTATATCTCAGTATTACCAGGTGCTTTCTCTGCATACTGCTATGAAGCATTATTGGGTAAACCTTTGGAAAAATACCTTAAAGGTGAGACTATGTATGATGATTCAGGTGCTACTAAGACTAGTATATTCGAAGCAAACATGTACCTGGCAGAAGATCGTATTTTAAGTTTTGAGCTTGTCATTAAGAAAGATAAATCATAAAAATTAAGATACATAAAGGTAACAATCTAAAATACTAGCATTGCATATCATTACACAAAGGCGTGAATATGTATATTCTCATATGCGAAAATTACTATTAAATTTATTATAATTATGAAATCTTCATTTCCTTCATAGCTAACTATTTATTTTATTAAGCTAATATACATTGATTTCTAGTGTAAAAAATCATTAAAATTGTTTTAGTAACTCATAAGATATTTTTATTTTAGATTTCATAACAATATAGAATTTTCTTAATGAATGAGGAAAAAAAAACTTTCAAAACTATAAAAAACACGCTATAGTTGTTATATAATATTAATTATTTTATTTACAATTTCAAATTTTTTATTATTTAGTCAGCTAAAGCAGAAACTGATGTTCCAGACAATTTGTCTGAATTTATTTTCCAATGTTGTCGCTGGTTGAATGGATCTTTCTTTACTACTTTCTATTCGATTGCCAAATTTACTCATATTTGGAGATCTGAATAGCCATTTTATTGCAAAATATTATTACAAATTCAATTTATTTATAATGGTATACAATTAATCTTTAACTGGTTCTTTTTGGTAAATATGATAAATCTTTAATATTTGTAAACAAAGTATAGATTGATATATTTATTTATTCATTTTATTTTTGTTTTTATTTATTATTCATAAATTTAGACAAATTTTTATTTAGCTTTTGTTTTTTTAATTTAATCCACAACTTCAAATACTACAACTGATCCTTTCAAAGATCATGGAGATAATTTATTTGAAGCTGCTCGCTTGTTGTATTTAATAATTATTGTTATAATTTTTATTTGTTCAATGGGTAATTGCTCTCAAGAAACAAAATTGATATTTATACTCTGTATAGTCCTCTTTGCAATTATCATGGCATTTATGCTTTACTGCTCAATTTATATTATGTATCTCACTATATATAAAGCAGTATCACCAATAGATTTTAAGAACCTTTCGAATATTCAAGAAACTTTAAAGAATTCAGCATTTCATGACATTATAATTTCTGTTGCTTTAACATTTTTGCTATATCTTTTTTTCATCCTTTATTTATTTTGAACCATGGCACATGTTCAGCTGTTTAGTTCAATACCTTTTACTTGTTTCTTTCTACGTCAATATTTTTATGATTTATACTTTTTGTAATACTCATGATGTTTCATGGGTACAAAAGGAGATAATATTAATACTGGAGTACTGTCAACTGAAGATGATCAAGAAACTATTACAATTAAAATTTATGAAGAAAATGATAAATATGCCACATATGAAAATATTCCCACTCAACTAAAAAATAAAAAGCATGATGGTAAACAACACTGAAATGCCATT